GCTGGTTCCATGAATGGTTCCCGGGCTGTTTCCTGGGAACCATCTTGAGACCAATGGTTTGCCTCCAACCTGTGAATACCTCACATGGAACCAGGGGGAAAACTGGGACTCGTTGTTGGGCGGACCTTCTGGAACCAAAGCAGCAGAACTCATAAAGGTTCTGGATGTTTTCCTACAGAAGGAAGGAACTCCAGTCCAGCTGAGTCGTTCTCTCAGATCTGAAGCCGGTTCTGGTGGAACGTTGGTTCTGATGGGTCCAAAGCCTTCTGAGCACACAGGAATTAAACAAAGCAGCAGCGCTCTGAGTTGATCTTCCTCCCAAACATTGCATCATCATCATCATCATCATCATCATCATCATCATCATCATCATCATCATCACTTATTCCCACAGACCAAGTGGGTTGTTTGTTTTTCCTGGCTTTGATCTGTTTGTTTGTTTCCAGGTGAAACACAACGGACTGATCCAGGAGATGGAGCATCCGACGGCGGGACGCATCGCCGTACCCGGTGAGCGCCAACACTCTGGTTCTGGATGTTTGGACCATCAGAACCACGGTTCTGTTTATTGCTGCTGGTTGTCTCCTTCAACCAGTACCAGTCTAACTCCCAGCTGATGCGTCCCAGTTCTGATCCGGATTCTCCTCTCTCTCTCTGTCTGGGACTCTAAATTATGCGGTGACATTTTTCCCTGAAGTGTTGTGAAGCGGGTCGGCTCTCAGAACCAGACCCTCCTCTGGGAGCGCTGTGTTTCCCCGTGTCCACATATTTCTCCTCAGAACCGCAGCGTGCAGCTGAGGCGGGTCCGCAGGGACGCCGCTTTGATGGATCTTAGCTGGTTTCCACTCAGAGGAAGCCGTTTGTCCTCTGCTCTGGATTTACGGTCCAATCCGTCTTTGCGGCCGACCCGTGTGGGTTCTCCTGGTTCCTGTCACTTTCACGCCTCATGTCTCAATCTATTGATGGTTCCTGATGTTTTAGCAGACTGAGGCGTGCGGCGGTTCTGCTCCACATGTTTGGCTCCAGCTGGGAGAAAACTGCCGTCAGTGGAGAAAATCTCTGCTGACAGAGTTTGGAAAACAAAGCTTAAATAATCCAGGAAAATCCAGGACCCGGTCCAAACATGTCAGAGAACTTTGCTTTGATCCGTTTGGTTTGGGGTTTTCATTCAGGGAGGCAAATAAACAAGGAGGAGGAGAAACAGGACAGCTTCCCTCTACAGAGTTCCAGTGAACGGCCTCTTCAAAGATCAGTGGAAAAAGAACCTTCAGTTATTGTTGGAGACCAGCTGAAGAACCTGGTTCTGGTCCTGGTTCTGGTTCTGGTTCTGGTCCTGGTTCTGGTTCTGGTTCTGGTTCTGGTCCTGGTTCTGGTCCTTTTCTCTGGGAATCTGCATCTTTCTGCCTCTGAAGGTCTTCAGATAATCATCAGTCAGGATTCAGCATTCAGCTGGTTCTTATGATCCTCCACTGACCCA